GTGGGGGGGGCCAGAGGAGGCTGTTCTGGCAGCAGCCCCTGTACACTGGAGATTTCAGCAGGGAGTTGGGACCCCCTTCTGACAAGGGCCACTGGAAATGGCATGAGCAAGGATTAAGCAAGCCCAGCTAAGTCCTGGGTCTCACTGGGTCCAGCAGCTATCCCCACTGTGACTGCAGTTTAACCACAGGGCCAGGCTGCCTGCATACCCCGCTCTTACTACATTTAAACTGCAGAGCCACAGTGGGGGGTAGCTCCTTCTGAGCTCCTTCCCTTATTGACTAATCATCTGGTTGATATAAATTATATTGACTACATGATTACCCAGTTATCTACCTCTTAACTTCTTAGTGTGCATGTCAGTTAAGTACTTTTAATCATGCATTCTAAGCATCACCTGTAGGCAAAGGTTCTTCAATGTCTCATTGTAGACCCCCTCCCCCCATCTTAACAAGGATGGACGTACAATGTTCTTCTACTTATTATCACACAGACCCACTCTCCCATTCATATTTACAGTCCTGTGACGACTACTGCAACTGCTCATATAGAAACATACTAAAATATGTAATGTTAGCTATTTATAATACAACTAGAAGATTTGCCCAGCATTGGTCAGGTCCTTATTTTTTGTGTTTGAAAAATAAAATGAAAATGTCCAGTTTCATTTAAGTCATGGCTCTGGGTTAGGGCTGGGATGAGGGGTTCAGTATGCAGGCTGCCCTGGAGAGAGAGGATTACTCCAGCAGCTTTGGACCAAGTGAGACACACCTCTCTTTGGCTGCTGCAGCTCCAGTAGGCACAGCCAAGGGAAGGGTACATATCTCCTGAGCTGGGGCAGGTCGAAGTTTATCTGCCTTCTGCACTCCCCAGCCAGAGTGAGTAATGCAGCAAACTGTGCATTTTCCCCATACTCACTGATGAAAGGAAATAAAGGAGATTTCAGCCCTCCCTGAAGGGTGCCTGAGTGGTGGGAAGCTTGGGCCTGGTGCAATCCTGGACCAGGAAGCAAGAGGTCTACTCTCAGCAGTCTTTTCGCCTGCTTGGTGATTCTGTATGACAGTGGTCCTTGCATACTGTCAATCAACATGGACAGAACCAGCACTGGATGTTGCTTGTCTTTCCTACAAGTAAGAATCCAGAATGGACACACCAAAATTAATCAGTCAACACAGCAATTGCTTCTAGTGAAAACACATTAACAGTGTTATTCTTCACTGCCTGTTTACTAGTTCAGAGGAAGAAGAGGTGACAGGAAAGATTAGGGGAACTTGAAAATCACAGAAAGACCCTCTCAGAGGGTTTTGAGAAGACATGTTGGAAATGAAGGGAGGCAAAGGAAAAGCGTGTGGGGCAGCAGTCCACATTTTCAATTCAATTGTTTCATTTTAGTCTTTATGTTTGAACAATAATCTATACCCTAAGACAGGGGTCTCCAAACTGCGGCCCGGGGGCCGGATGCGGCCCGCGAGGCCCTCTCATCCGGCCCGTGGAGACCTTTTTGGATTCAAAGGCAGAAGAAGTGAGATTGTTTCAAAACCCATTTGAAGCAGATGTGGCCAGTTGCCCAGATGAACTGCAGCTGGAAGTCATTGAGTTGCAAGCAAATGACCTCCTTAGGGACAAGTTCAAAATAGGACTGGTGGGTTTTTACCAGTTTTTGCCCAAGGAAGACTTTCCTAATGTCAAAACTTTTGCATCAAGGTACCTTTCAATCTTTGGAACAACATACCTGTGTGAACAAACATTTTCAAGAATGAAATACGTGAAGAACAATTTGAGAACAAACTTGTCCGATGATAATCTCAGGTCACTGTTGATGTTAGGGACAACAAATCTAAAGCCAGAAATGTCTGCTATTTTGGCATCCAGGAAACAATTTCACCATTCACACTAATACAGGTGTTCATGTGTAGTGTATCAATGTGTTATTAAATAATAACTGAATAAAATAATATTAAATAAATAATTAAAAACAACATCCATTTTTTGATTGGTTTTTATTTGGACCTCAAGTGTGTAGTCGGCCCCCGAACTGCTGTTTGATAGTTAATGCGGCCCTCAGGCAGAAAAGTTTGGAGACCCCTGATCTAGCTGGAAACTAGGAGAGGAGCCTGCACCAGGTAACCAGACTGCTTTCCAGACATCAAGCATCTTCCATAGTCTGCTCTCTTGACCATAATTTAGAAATTTTAGAGGGTTTTTTTACACTAGGGAATTTTAGTAAAAATCAGGGTGCTTATGCCCAGCCCAGTTGCACAGGAGGGAGCTTTAAGACAAAGGGGTGCTGTTTGTTTTTATCATCAGGTCAGCTAGGGCACCAGTTCAATTAACATGATACAAATTATCCAAGACACTGGAGCCTTATTGGTGCAGTCCAACCAGTGATAGAGTAGAGATGTAGCTGTGTTAGTCTGGTCTTGCTGAAACAAAAGACAGGACTATGCAGCACTTCAAAGACTAACAAGATGGTTTATTAGGTGATGAGCTTTCGTGGGCCAGACCCACTTCCTTAGATCAAATTGTGGAAGAAAATTGGCATGACCATATATACCAAAGGGATACAATCAAAAAAAAGTGAACACATGTAAAATTGACAAATCAGATTTTAGAACTGAGAGGCGGAGGTTACTGTGTATGAGATAATATTAGGGATGATAATTGGGGAAGCTATCTTTGTAAGGGGTAAGGTAGTTAAAGATGCTAAGGCCCATTCATAAAGTGTCAAATGTAAGCATGAATGACAGTTCTGAGGTTTCCCTTTGTAGTCTGGTGTTTAAAATCTCTTTGAAGTAATATACATGTAGTGAGGGCATCAATGACCTCACTACATGTATATTACTTCAAAGAGACTTTAACACCAGACTACAAAGGGAAACTTCAGAACTGTCATTCATGCTTACATTTGATGTTTTACAAATGGGCCTTAACAAAGATGCTGACTACCTTACCCATTACAAAGATAGCTTTCCCAATTATCACCCCTACTATCATTCTCTCAGACACTAACTATGGTCATGCCAATTTTCTTCCACAATTTGATCTGAGGAAGTGGGGTCTGGCCCACGAAAGCTCATCACCTAATAAACCATCTTGTTAGTCTTTGAAGTGCTGCATAGTCCTGTCTTTTGTTTCAGTGATAGAGTAGCATTAGCTGAGGATGGTTTGGTTTTGGTGCAGTGGGAAGAGGTGGGGTTTTTTCTAAAATTGCCTACCACGAAGCCAGCCCTTTCCTTACCTATAATGAGGTAAAGATGTTAAAATGCATTTAAATCAAGTAACTGCTGAAAAACATTTTGCAGCTGGCTAAATCGTTACCTCTTAATGGCCCCCGCTCTGGAATTGAACGGTAGGATGTCACCAGACACGCTCAGCTGGACGACAAAGATATTAGGCTAATTAATTTTAACTGGGCTGGCTTCTTGGAGCTACTTGTGCCGTGGACCAGGGGAGCCAAGCAGACAGGGGAAGCAACCGGGCGGTCAAATGGAGGTGCTGGCCTGTCAGACTAGCGTGTCATTAGGAGCTGGCGATATTGTTTCTCGGGGGCTCCGGCCCCTGGGGCTAAGGTTAGGGTTAGCGTTTGGCTCCGCAGCTGCAGCGCTTCCCGACGCTTCCCTCCCCCATTGGGGGGAGCCAGTGACAACTGATTAGGTCACGTGAACCGCGCAAAGCGAGTCCTCTCCATCTAGAGCCTTCTCAACATGGCTTTTGTTAGCAAGGCTGTCTCGGTCTCCTCCCTGCTGCTGTGCTGGCTTTCCTTCTGGCAGAGCAGCAGCGCTCTGCACACCAAGGGCTCCCTGCCCCTGGATGGCATCACCTTCTACAAGGTAAGGGGGACGCTGCTGGCTGCATGGACCTGCCTCTCTCCCGGGCTGGCTTCTTCTCCGGGAGGTG